AAAAAAAAAAAAAAAAAAAAAAAAAAAAAAAAACCCTACCACCACAACACAAGACAGCATAGCCCAACGAAGCCTAAGTATATGTTGCAGGTATGGTTTCGAAGCCTTCTGTGGATCTCTACCTAAAGACTATAATCGGTTTCGTAATCTCTAGTTTCACATATCATAGCTTTACTTGATGTATTTATCAATAAATTTATGATTATTTTATATATAAAAAAATTCCTCTAAAACAGAATCTAGGGTTTAAAATTCTGCCTTCAAGGTTTCATAAGCCCGAGAGCCAGGCTTCTCAGCAGAACCAGAATGATGAAAAATCCCTACTCCATCCGCTATGCAAATTTAATTAAAAACTGCATCAATTTTTATTTAGATTATGCAAATTGGTCCATGTAAAAAGTTTTAAGTTGTGTATAGTCTTTTACAATTTTCTTTCACCGTTTCTAGTTTTATCCAAGATTTCAGTCATGGTAATGTTTTATTGGTTTGATGAATATTTGAGCTTTGAATTTTCTACAATTTAATTTCTGTTAGATGCCACCACTTATAATATGTCCAAAAACGCTGATACATGCCAATGGATCGTTATCAGATTAACTTGACTTGCAGAAACAGGATAAGAAATCTTTGGCTTGCTTTTGTGTGAGAAATGTTGGTGGGGTAAACCATGGGTGGAAAGTTTGAGGAAAGGAAAGGAGCAAGTTTGTCTCAAGCTCCAAAGAGAAACAAGAAGAATACAGCCAGAGCTTTTCAATTCCCCACAAAAATCTAGAATCAGCAATGCCCACCAAATATCTCATGGCCCCAGCCGGGTACATATTGATGCATAACCCTCAGCCACCCCACCACTACATTGCCAAAACACCTACACTTGCCGACACTTGACTTCACTAGGTACATGTGCACCCACACTACCCGCATGCGCCTGTAAGCAAATTGCAGAAGAAACAAGTGAGGTATTTAAAGCAAAGATGTTGAAAGAACAAGGAGATATTTGTTGTATTGGATAATTCTTATTATGCTTTACCATTATCATTGTTAATCTGGAATCCAAAACACAAAGAATCAAAGCAAGCTCATTCTTGTTCCTTACTCAAACTTTCCAACTACACAAATACAATATGGCTTGAAACTGAAATCCAGTACACCCAAGCGAGAATCAGAGCAAACTATGGTAAAATACAAGCCTATCTATACAAGCAACAACTATTGAACACCTAAGGAAGAATACATGAGACTATCCAAAGTTTAAAGGAAAAAAAAAGAGGTAAAATATTTAAATTGTTACTGCAGAATGAAGAGTTATTGATGAATGGAGAAACTTTATTGGGTAGATGGAACTTTTGATTATTGGATTGGACAGTACACCTTAACTGTTTGCCAAGGAAGAAGATTGAACTTTCATCAACTGCCAAAACCAGCTTGCGCCTGTGTGTGTGATGCATATTCACCAAAGTTGAGCAAGCTTTACTCTTTCTTTTATTTTGATCAGCACACCATTAGCTCATCTGCTCCCCTATTAAATCTAAACCCACGAGTAGAAAGGTCACTCCTTGGAAGAGGAGGAAGTAGAAATGGACTCCCTGGGCTGCCAACAGACTCCTGACTGAAGCTGTCAGTAAGAGGAATGCCAGAGCAAGCTCTTTCCTGTATATCTTATTTACCTTCTTAACAGGTTGAGGAGCTGCTTCTTTCTGTTCCTTTAGATGGTTCAACTCAGCCAGCTCACTCTCAGAAGCTCCTCTGCAAATTGGTGTTTGGTTCTTGGATTCCCTCTCAGCAGCAGCCAGCAAATCAGATTCTGAAGACCTGCCTGCTTTCTTGGTAACAACCCACTCATATGAGCTCCCTAACTGGAATAATCCAGATACCATTGCATTGAATTTGGTCACTGACATGGTGTTCTCAAACAGGAGGTAAGGAACAATAAAAGGAAAGGATTTGGGAGCTGGGAGAATGTTGAGGAATGACATAAAAGCAGGCACATAACAAATGACCCAAACAGGGAGCTCGGCCTCAGGAACGAACATGGTTAGAGGAAGGATTATGCAAAACAATGTGAAGGAATAGAAGGGAAGGATGAGTTTCCTCAATAAAAAGAACAGTAGTGTCAGATTTGCCTTCTTCCATATTGTTATCTGCAAATTTCAAAGCATTTCAGGTACTTTAGAAATGTTATATTTTATATGAGATACAATCACCAAAAATGGAAGTTGTTTATCAAATTTACCTTAGAAGTCAAAATTGCAGGAAGGCACAGACGGAAAAGTTGCATAGGTCCAGAATGCCAGCGATGTTGCTGCTTCCTGTAAGCTTCATAGGACTCAGGAACTTCACAAAGGACCTGATTGAAATAAAAAACATACTTAAAAGAGCTAAATGAGTTTTCCAAGTAAATAGACCAAGTGACTAACCTAGACTGAAATCAGAAGCATACTTTTTGAAAATCAGGAGCATATTTGTTGAGAGTAACGTGATCTTACCTTTACATCATTAAGGAAGATGAATTTCCAACCATTAAGGTGTGCACGGACAGCTATGTCCATGTCCTCCACAGTTGTCCTTTCAAGCCAGCCCCCAGACTCCTCGAGGGCTTTGATTCTCCAAACACCAGCAGTCCCATTAAAACCAAAGAAATTCAGGAAAACACCGTTCACTTGCTGTTCAACCTCAAAGTGGAAACATAAGTTAATGTTCTGGAGACGAGTCAATAGGTTCTCATCCTTGTTCACAAAAGCCCATCTAGCCTGAACCAATCCTAACTCAGGGTTGTCCTGAAACATAAGTGAGATGTCTGAGACAAATAACCGAAAGGTTCAATGAGTTCTAGCATGGAACTTTAAATGAACCAGAGTTTTTCCCTGTCTTCACCTTGAAATGTGGCACTGTCTGCTTTAGAAAATCTGGATTTGGCTGGAAATCAGCATCAAATATTGCAACAAACTCATAGACCTTCACATAATCACAGCTCATTGCAGACTTCAGATTTCCAGCTTTATAACCAGTTCTAAACAAGCGATGTCGATAAATTATGTTGACACCTCTTTGGCTCCACTTGGAAACTTCTCCCTTAATTAACCATTGGACGCTCTCATCATCAGAATCATCAAGAACCTGAATAAGTAAACGCTCCTTCGGCCAATCAAGCTGACAGACAGCAGATATTGACTGCTCATATACCTATATGAGGTCAACAGTGAAAATCCATTAACATCACATCATGAAAAATCCACACAACTCAATATCACTGCCTTAGATATTATTATTCTAAGCTAGAACTGATAGATCCAAGAATTATGACACAATTCTTCAAATTCTTTTAATCAGTGCTGTTCAATGTTGTAGCAGTAACTAAACTGCTTATATTCTTTACTTAAAATTATGTTCTCACTTCAAAGTTTAACACTCCAAAAAACCAAATTCTAGTACTTGCCTAACAATCAGTCTTCCACTTTCCACAAATCCATGAATCTGCTAAATCTAAAACTAAATTTTTCATGTGTGACTTTTTTGAATAAAGTCCTAAAACATTGAAACGAAAAAGGGTATTGCAGTTAAATGTGTTACCTCTCTCTCATTACACATTGGGATTTGAACAAGAACCATAGGATACTCATAACCAGATCCCTCAACATCTTTAGACTTGAATGGATTTCCGTCAATCCTTGGCTTAATCTTCTTGTATTTGATCCAAAAGCAACCTAAGCAAAGTATCATACGATCTACAGACTGAATTAGGAACAGAACTATGCAGAATTTGGACAAAGCTTGAATTAAGGGCGCAATGTAGTCTCCACGAAAGGACAGCCAAGAAACATACAGCATGTGGAACAAACCGTGGATTTCACTTGTCCGAGGAATGTGTAAACTAGGATTCTCAAAATAATGCCAGCCCTTGAAATAAGCTACTACCTCGAAACCAAGAATAACTAAGGATATCACCAAGAAAGCCTTGATTACACCGAACAAGAGCTTTCCCTTTCCCAACTTCTCGCTCGCCATGTCTACATCCTGTCGGAAAATCAACCTCCTCTTTATGGCTCCAAGGAATGCCCAGAAGAAAGTGGCCAACCAAGTGAGGCAACCGACAGCGTGGTGAGCCTTGAGAAGCAAGACCCATGTCACTTGTTTGGCATTTTTGCCTCTGCTCTTCTCCACGGGCCGGAATGCAGCATCTGGGCCGTCAATTTCGACGACCGAGTAGTTGGGGTTCTCCATTTTCACCACCACCGACGTCCCTTTTCGGGTATCCTTCGCCCACCAATTTGAGAAATCCAAACTCGGAGCCATTTGCAAACGACAAAAAGCTGTAAACTTTCGAGAAATCCACAAAAACCCAGATTCCAAACTAAAGAATGCCTAAATCAAATTTGAAAAGAACCCAACTGAATGCTCTCCATTGCACACGAAATGCAGCAAAAGAGAAACAAGGAGAAACGAGTGTAGGAGGTTCTTTTGTAGTTGCATAGGTAGTCTAAGAGACACCCCCACCATGGAAAAGCAACATTATGAGGAAAGGTATCTGCAGCTGTAAGACCCAGACGCGGGTTTTGTCTAAATACTCCAAAATACTCCAAACAAGCACAGCCGTCCTCCATTTATCACCAGAATTTTACCATTTTCGTAGCACATAGAATCCATCAAGGTAATCTCTTTATTAAGAAAAGAATCTGCCAAGATAATCACAATATTATATATATTGAACAATTTTGACTGCGAAATAAGTAATTTAGATGGGAATGGATTTTTAGATTCTAACAAAATTTTTCGGTTTTTACACTACAGAGATTAATTGCAGAAGCATATTAGTAAAGTAAATTAACGCAAAGATTTTGAAGGAGAAAAAACAACTGAAAAAGAGACCATTTTAGAGGGGGAAAAAAAAAATTAACTTTATACTTCAATGGTCCAATCGTGAAAGATTTCTTTTAGAAGGTTTGATGTAAATTCAAGATGGAAACTTTAAAGCACCTTGTCTCTAGAACAAATGACAGTGAACTATTCTTCCGCAATCAATTGCTGGGTTGATTGAATTTAAAGCTTCCTTGTTTTTTTTTTTTTTTTTCTCAATTTATTTCCCACTTGTTTAAAATTTCGAAATTGAAATTAAAAAAGCTAACTTCTTAGTGAATGAAATTATTATGTGAAAATTTTTTCATTGAAAAA